CTCGTCAATTCCACTCGTCAATAAAACTATTCAAAAATACTATTCAAAAATACTATTCAATTCTACTCGTCGATTCCACTCAACATTGCTTTAGTCATCTCCCCATCATATTCCCCCCTCTTCTCCTCCTTGGCACTGCCAGGAAAGAACCATTGCCTCAATTGGCACACCAAACCACTGTTTGGACTATTGGTAGGGCAAATCTCGTGATAAGCGGGGGGGAGATTGTGTTTCTCGTACCGACACGAGCACCATGGTCCCCCTTGTTGAAGATCATGGGATTTATCCCATCTAAGACATGCAATGACCCCTGTTACGTTCCACCCAGATCTGTCCTCATGCAAAGACACTTGTGGTACCGTTTCCAGAAATTCTCGTAACTCGTCGTAGGTACAACTCTTCCTACGAGCCCGAATCTTGGCAAGGAAATCAAGAATACTTTGAGGTGCCAGTACTTGCCTTTTCTCGAAAGCGACCGGGTTGCCATCATTGTCTAACACTTTGGGCCTTCCCCAAAGCCATGCATGCGCAAGAAGCGAGACCAGGAGTTGCCTTCCACCAATGTGCAGTCTCTGTTCTTCTGATGTGGCTGAATATCCTGGCGAGGAAACGAGTTTCGCCAGGAAAAAAGATGCCTTCTGTGTACGCACTTTAAAGGACGCTTCTTCCATCCCTACATGCGAGAAAGTACCGTTCTTATCTAAGAATAACGTAGAATCGTCAACCCATTGACTACACGCTCTGAGCGCTTTCAGTGCCTCCTTCGCCTCGATCCTCATCTTTTCCGGCTTGACGTAGATGGGTGCGCATGTTGTTCTGTTGGGGGGCATGGAGGGCTCATAGAGTGGGCTGCGTAGTTCAACGACGAAGACTTGACTCAAGTCATCTTGTCGTCGGACCATTCAGCTATTTATGACCTAAAAACCAGCCACCGGTCAAAGCTGATACGGCCTCAGAAATCTACAGTCTGCAGCAAGTCAGCGCCGGTTTTAGGCGTTTTGGCAGAGATTTGGTGGAGGGTTGCTGACATTAGGTCCAGACCCGCACTTGACAGTAGATACAGGTACGGTGATAAGTGATAATTCTTGTTCAAGTCAACCCAAGCATTAAAGGCTTACGCTCCGATCCTTAGGGACTCAAAGTAAGAAACCTGAGCTTTGTCTGATCGTAACCGGGCTCTATGGTAAACATATCATACCTACCATTAAACCTAACTCCTGTCTTCCATTATAGACCTGGCTGCTACATTTGTCTATTTACTATGTGTTTGCGCTGGAGGTCCTTCTCAGGAACTGCGACGGTATCTGCTGCTGTCAATGTGTACGTAGGCTGATACATTTGCCTGCGCCATAGGTAGTCCACATCCGAAGTGCTTCTCCGCCCTTTTCGCACCCGTCATGCCATGTCCCGCGACCTATGTTGGTTGTGATGAGTTTCACCTACGCATCGATATTGGTGGTCAGTGCTAAGCTGCTGTGGACCCAAACATGCCACCCGGCTGAGAAAGAGCCGAAGAATGACGTCGATGGCGCGTTGGTGAAGCGGTTCATTTGCTTTCGGCCCGGTACGAGCAGATTCAAGATGATACTGTGCCTCCATTCCGAGGCTAGAAAGCTTGAAAAGGACGTGAGGCAGAAGAGAAACCTACTGCGTGATGGATCCTGTTCCTGGAGATAAAAATCGACCTTGAATGCCCCTGCCTTTCACCTTTCACCTTTCACCATGGCGCACGGCGGCTGTGAGAAACGAGGAATGCAAAGTTACAGGTACGGGCGTCTAGGGGCGTTTTTCGAGCCAGGCAAGGATACACGCACGTTTCCTCCAGTCAGTTAGTCTCTTAGTAGTCCACCCAAGATCGAGTGGCCCTATATTTGTCGGTATTCCGCGCACGAATACTAATCGCTGACAAGCGCTTGCCAGCCTCTCTTCCCAATGTACCAGATCAGAGATATGCAACTTCAGGCGGCCGACCATGATCTCGATGCATTAACATGTGAGGGGACCCTCGATGATATACGCGAACTCCCGTCCGACGCTCGCCGCGCTGTGCTTCAAAAGTATCTAGTAACAAGGGAGCCAATCCTCATGCAAGAACCCACCGGTTGGTCAAACGAAGAGAGTATCAAGAGATTTATACTTCTGAGAGAGCTCCTCAAGGAGGATAAATGTCGACAAAGTCTTCTCCTGGAAGCCCGCAGAGTCTTTTACGAGGACAACTCATTCATTGTGTCGTTTGAGGACTTCTCCCGCTTCCTAGATGACATGTTAGGTAGTTGGGAGGACGCTGCAGCGGTCGAGACGTTAGTACGCGATCTCAAAGTAAGGGTCAGAAGAGACGACTGCCAGTGTGGACAATTAATGAAGTATATGCGGCACACGTCGTACTTTTGCGCAATGCCTCAACTGCGGACGATCACATTCGAGTGGTCCGACTCGTTGGAAGACGCCACCGGCAATGATGGCGACGTTACCTCCAGCGATGAAAGCTATTGGAACGATGACCGTACAGATGATAGCGAGGAGTCGAGTGATACCTTGAGATGGGAGTCGTCGGATGATGACAGTAGTTGGAGTCTGGATGAGGGTGTGGAAGGATGAAATTGTTTTGTCTAGCTGATTCACGTCGCCAGATTGACGCGCGTCACGGTTCTGGCGGCAAAAGCCCGGTAGATTACGTTCATGCTCGCACTTTGGAAGTCGATCCACGATCAGCAGCTGTCAATTAATTACATGCGATGCAAGGTCATCGTTTGTTTACTATACCATTGTTCTCAAATGCATACCATTCGGGAGTGCAACTGCTTCTGCATTTTACGTGGGCTGCAGCATGTGACTAGCTAAACTGTATACGATATAGGGTGTGTGTACTTCGGTGACATGGTAGGGATCGGGTAACAAAAGAATCGTCTTAAGACTGGCATGAGGTGACCAAGTTATTTCATGTCTTACTCTTGCGGCTCTTACTTTTGCGGCAGCTACTTCTCCTGATCCAAATCGACAAGCCAGTCTGGTCAGCCCCATATAAGTTGTCCCAAAGCTCAAGAAGTACGCTTATGGATCTAGTATACCACCCCTTTTGCAAATGACTTGCATTTTCAGCAGGTTCCACGCGTCGCAATAGTGGAGATCTACAGGTAATAGTGTTTCAAGATATTTCTGTCGTAAGGTCTCATAGTTATGGTGGCGAACTCGCCGGATGACATGCGGAAAGAAGAGATAGCGACGAACCGTCGTTTCTTTACCAGGCACATCCGTTGGTTCGAATAGGTAGCTACCGAAAGCAAATTCGATCACCCTATGCTAGCCCTGAAGAACAAAGTTTCTGATACCCTGATGACAGAGACAACGCATTGTCATGTTAACATCGTTTCTCCTGTTTTAAAAGTTGGAAATAGTAGTCCCGACATTTAGCTTCCTGGTCAGTTCAAGAATCGCATTGCCAGCAGCAGTATCCGCCACGCTAACTCCCATACCCTTACACATCAGTCCTTCTCTTGCTTTACTTGGCCTTAGACATTTTCCCCATATTATTTGGATGGATATCTCATCGGCATCTGCGACCGGTGTCGTTCACTCCACATTGGCGTCCGACTACGGATCAGAGTCCGACATCTTTGCCCCAGACAGGAAACACCAAGTTGTTTGACAGAGGCTCAGCTAGCTCTAGTCAATCATTGAAGACTGGAATGTGCCAAGAAGCAAGTATTACACTACGCACTTGCATCTCGAATAACATACGTTATCAACGCCCCTTCAAAGCCTCGTCCACCTTTTTCGCAATATCAATACTCTCCCTCAAAACGTGTTGTTCTTTATCACTCAATTTCAAAACCTCACTCTCATCCATACAGCTCATATCACCCTTGGTCCTACCCTTGTGCCACTTGCCATCCGTCATCCAATACTCCGGGACTTCATACCCCTCCGGATCCACTATCTTATTCTTCAGCAAGCTTCCATTGTACCACAGTAGCTTATCCTTCTCATCTGTATGTGAGATGACAAAACTGCTCACTTTTCCTTCTTCCTTACCCCAACCTAGTATCGAGCCGTAATGCTTCTCGAATTCGTACCGCGAACCACCAAGTTCTAGACCGAGCCACCAAGACTCTTTATCGCCGTGGCCGAGTCGGTAGGTTACTTCTTCGCGGACGTCGTGCGTGTTTTGCCATGCGACGTGCAGCAGGCCGACGAGAGTGTCTATACGGCCTTTGTTGAGGACTACGACTCCGGAATCGCATTCTTCGGCGTAGTCTTCTGTCCAGACGAGGGAGTTGTTCATTTCCGCTGATGGGTGCTTTATTTGGTCTATCCATCAATCGTGGCGCGATCTGAAGGCATGTTGCCAAAGAGGTCTGTCGTGGAAGAGCAGGGTACCCTTCTCCTTGTATGCCCGCTGAGAGAATAGTTTCTCGGGCTGTTGGATAAAAACAGCATCTGCGTCTAGGAGAATCACCTCTTCAAAGCGAGAACCCAACATGGCGAAAGCCTTGATAGCCCAACCTCCATCTTTTAGCTTCAAAGTTGCGTCATCGAAAACCGTGAGGATGTCGACAAACTCGATATCCAACGCACCATCCAGGCCCGAGATTCTATTGCGACCCTTCTCCGGTAGGTCATTCTCTCCTGCGTACACAACTTCAATCGGTAGTCGAGAACCCAGAACCTTTCGCAGACAGACGATCAAATGGCCAGCAAACCGAACAGATTGTTCACCACCTCCAACAGGTATAACAATTCCCTTGGATCCCTTGGTGAAAGACCGTCTCAAATCAGCCAGCGGCGTCTTCGTTCCTGGTCTGCGCTGTAGGTTCTTCAAAAACGGGAATAATTCCTGTGCTGTCGTCTCAACCACATCGTGCAATTGGCGCCCGGCAAACGAAGAAGTCCCAACGTGATCAGCCCTCTCCAACCATTTTCTCAATTCTCTCGACCGTTGGCCAACTTCCCAAAAGGTATTCTTAAACGGCGCTTTAACCGGGCTCTCGTTAAACTCCTTCGCTTTCAACGAAATGTTCTTGAGCTCAGCCTCGCTTATTGGCGCAGTGCTCCAGCCATAAGATAAGCTGGAAGAGCCTTTCCAAGTAACAAGAATTAGAAGAATAGAAAACAAAACGAATATGCCTAACCGTATAAGAGCCCGTGGAGGATCTCTTATGATCTGGCTGACTTCGAGGATGAGTGCCGATGCCAACGACATGATCGTGCGGCGTACGTTTGATGGAGAATCAAGGATAGAAAGATAGATGGCAAGGCGGGACCTGGTTAAGCAGCGTCCAGAGTGGACACACTGACCCCTAGATGGCTTCCAGGATGGGGATCCAGTTACGGGCGAGGAGGATTGAACATGACAGCCAACAAGTCAACCACATGCACTTGCGCCGTCGCTGCGCCTCAGAGTTTCTTGGCTATCAGAACGTGGTCTGATATTTTCTTTTTGCGTTTTTACTGTACTCACGAAGTCTCCTCTTTCTCTGTAGATCATGCCTTGGTCTACTTTTTTTTTTGGCCGCAGGAAAACTATATCAATCGAGGTTGGTAGCATAAACTGGGACGCCGGCCTTATGGGGAAATGCGAGCCTCTGAGACTTTAGCAATGCAGGGATTATGGTGGTTGAGCCGCTAATCTTCACCTTCATCCTGTTGGTCTGCTTTGCCGCTTGTCTCATGCCGCTTCGTTGTCTGTTTTTGGCTTTTAACTTTTGGCTGACTCGTGGTGATCCTAATAATGGATCCTAGTCTTGTCTGATACCATCATACTTTCACATTAACAAGCAAGATATATTGTTTATAGGACTCAAGTGATGCGGTACACACTTCCGGCACTCGACACAAACACTCTTCCTTGATAACTCTTAATAACTCGTAGAAACTTCTCACTTGTTTAAAAATATATATAGATACAGCAGAGCTCATGAGATCAAAGATCATAACCTCCATGCCAAGACGTTACCAGTTACTTGCTACACCATCTCGGCAGTTTATCGGGACAAATTGGATGCCCATCTGCTAAGTCGATGGTAGGATCTTCGTCGGGATGATCACTCAGAGTCCTCGGACTCGGTGTTCCCCAGCCAATCATGAGCGAGGTCCTCGACATCTTCACATCCACTCTCTTCCGATTCCTCAAGTGTCTCTTTGCCTTCGTATGGTGTGGGAGCCGAGTAGGGAGAGGACGGCATGACGAACGAGGAATCTTGTGGTTGAGGACTGTCGGGTCCACCCTGGACGCTGCCTTGGGAAGGCTGATGGGTTTGAGGCGGCTGCTTCTGTTTCCGGTAAGATCTAGAGCTGCCATCACTGAACATTGAGGCGGGCCTCTTGTTGTTCCTCGTCACGACGTCTTTGTCACCAGGTCCGTAGCATGCCTGAATATGAGCATCTTCACCGGCAACAGGTATTTCGGCATTCCCCAGGTTCAGCGTTTCCTGATGGAGGCTCTGTTGAATCTGCAATAGTAGTCGCAAAGACTTTCTTGCTGAGCCTCTTTTTTCAGGTTGTCTGCGTAGCATTTTGCGTAGCCACACACGGAACTGCAACGGCGCAGTGTCGACCTGCCGAACGATCACATCACGCATCCAGCCCTGATGATCACGACGGCTCAACGGTCCGCGGGACCAATATTTGTCTGATTGTGGATCCCATGAAGTGAGACACTGCAAACCAACTAGGCCGAGGGAGAACATGTCCACCTTGTTGGTATAGGACAATGAGCGGTTGAGAAACTCAGGAGCCATGTAGATCGGACTTCCGGTGAAGGTATCCATGCACCCATATGCGATTTGTCTTGCAGTTCCGAAATCAGCCAGCTTGACGTGCATTGGTCGGGAGCCCAAGACGAGGATATTGTCAGGTTTCACATCACGATGGCTGATCCCTTCTGCGTGCATGTGTATCAACGCACTGCTGATCTGAATTAGGACGTCAACGACACCTTGTTCGTCAAAGCCTCTTGGTTGGAGGCTCTGGGGGATGTATTCCATGATGAGCCATGGAGGAAGCCTCTTATCTGCAGCCATGACTAGCTCGATTCCCTTGACTATATGTGGCTAATAGGGAAGAAGAGAAGAAGAGAGGAGTCAGAAGAGGTTGGAAACAACGTGACGCAATTCAGGTGAGTTACTCACATGATCCAACTTGGCGATGTTGTCAAATTCTCGCTTCAGCTCCTCCCAACGACTTCTCACTTTCCCAAAGTCATCACTGACCTTGTAGTAAGGTTCTTTCGCGCCATACACTAATCCCGAAGTTCGCTCATAGATCCGCATGACAGAAGCAGTCATACCTCTACCTTCGACACCTCCCTCATTGACGTAAACGGCGTTGTTTTTCCCATACCGGACATTCGACGTAACCGTCTCAGGTTGACTGTTGAGTGGGGGAATATATGTGGCGATTGCGGCAACAACTTCCTTGCTCCATTTCAGTGCCTGTGCAGCATACCGCCGCTGCTCTGCCTCAGTCAGCTCCGGCCGCCATACGACGAAACTGACGGCTCCAAGGTCAAGCGTGACCATGCGGGATATCTCTGTCGATTTATCTCGCTCGAGAGATAAGACACGCCCTTGGTCCACGAGACGGACAACGCCGGAGCGAGATAATACTGTTATCCGAGGAGATCCGGTTCTTGGCTCTGTGTCGATGCGAAAATGCCGTCTGCTGATACCAGTGCTGTTGTCCTTGGCCAGCTGCACATCACAGATGTCAGGATCTGATGATGAGCCGAAAACCCAACCTTCGGGAGAAAAAAGATGGCGTCCAAATGTCAGACAAAGGAAGGGTCCTTTAGGCTCTTGCGTGAGCTTGCGGCCTTTCCATCCCGCACCTGCTGTTGCGGGAGGGCTGAAGTGGTATCGCTCGTTATCTGACAAGGAGACAATGTCATCAACACCAGTGAAGGACCCCAGAAACAGCACAACACCCGCAAGATCCAACGTGGGATTGGTTTCGTCCATGTCCTCTGAAGAATACCGTGATGCGTGTCAAAAGTTGAGTGTGATAATGCTGAAAGCAACGTGACCAGGTCTTGACCTCGACTCTACCAAGGGGACCAAGCAGATAAGCGGGGAATAGACCAATAGAAATGTGTATCGATGCGCTGACGATGATTGTCAGGACACGTTAGCGCCGGCCCCGCTTTACGTGTCGCAATTTGCGTCTTGGTACGCCGCGCCAAGCTGCGGTTCTGGTTTGAGACCTTCTTCGAGGAGATACGAGATCATTTGTTCGAGATGGCACGTGTCTATGCATCGTTCGTTGCTTCTCTGTCATCACTCTATCCGTCTTTTTGTCTGCCTCTTCCTTCCATTGAAGCATCAGCATGGCTTCCTGACGGCTTGATTCAGGTTCAAGCAGTTCGGCCTCAATCTCCCAGTAAAATTGTGACGTAATATTAAATCGAAGGTTGTCTATCGCATGCATAGAAAAGCCGTGATTGCGCAGTGAGTCCCGGTGCGAACGAATAACACTCTGCCAGTCCTCGGTCGTAGCAGGCGTGACAGGGTGTCGATGCAACCGTTCATCAAGCACGTGCCCTAGACGTGAGACCACTGCATCTTCGTAGCACCTTGCTTCACACTCCCAATACATAGGGTCACTGATACGCTTCCGCAATTGCTGGAGTTGATGACGATCAAAGTGCCTGCTCAGATGCTCGCAAACGTATTTGTAATTCTGTTCGGATGCGTCGGTAGCGAATTCGGGCTCGGGGGTCGCGTCGGCTCGTTGCTTCGCCGCATGTTCGATGCCTTGGACAAGATCTGCAGCAAAATATTGGTCGGGAGGTTTTGGCCTTGATTTGGCTGACATCGGGGGCGTGTTCATAATGGCGTAATGCTTGGGGCACAGGTAATAAAGGATGGACAGCTCTAGAAGCAGGTTGATTTTTGGTGGAATAAATGAAGCCGTGCTGCTTTGTGACGGATTGATGCAAGAGGAAGAAAGATACGACGCGTCTCTTGGAATGCCGCTGTTATCTTCATTCAAGCTTATCGCGAGCTTATCTCTATCTTATCTATGGCCGATCGCTGTTTTACCGGCCTTTGTCGTTTTATCGTTATCGCGATAGCGTTATCGATAGCTTATCGCACGACGATACGAGCTCCCTATAGATAGAACGTAGTCTCCATTTTTGGGGGTTTCCCGACCCTACAGGGTACGGTCTTTAATAAATTATTATGTAGTCTACCCCTTCGAAACTACCAATTCTTATCCATATATAATGAGCTTGATTGCCCGCGCAACTAATAACTCACGCAGTGGGGAGAAGAAGAGCCGTCGGGCATAGATTTGGGAACCGAGCGCCGAGTCTTCAGCGGTGCTGAGACTATCACACATGGGAAGTTTCGGTGACGATGAAATGCCAAACAGTTTTTTGGGGTTTCCAGGATGTTGATCCATGACTGTGGCCGATGACAGCTCAAGCGAGATGAACCGCTTTCCTTTAATTCACGATACTATTTCGGTAAACTGAAACAATGCATCTTGTCGTTCCCATGTTTTTTCTAATTCTCTTCTGCTCACATTGAATTCCGTTTAAGCGCCCGTTGAAACGGGTGATGAAGTGGCTTGTTTCCTTGGCTCAAGATTACTAATAATACCGCCACCCTGGTCCAAGCCCAACATATACCTGGTTAACCGTCCAGGATACCACCTAGCATTTTCGAAAGTAGAGGCGTTCCTTAAAGGTAACGTTCGATATTGGCAGTCTTTATGGGCGCCAAACCGGAACTCCATGGCTTTCTGCAATGGCGGACAAACATTGGCTATGTTGACGCCCGACTAGAAGGAGTTCCTCTTGGTATAAGCTTTTTAATAATCTTTCAACTGTTCTAATGCTGACTAATGCTGGAAATATTGGACGCATCCGAGTAGGGCAGGAGCTACACTAAATAATCCGCATTTGTCCGAGGCACCCGTGAAGAAAAGACGCGTATCACTCCATATGGTCTGGGAAATGCTAGTCGCTGACGATAGCATGTTTCATCAACACTCTTCAAACCCTTTGAAAGCTGCAAGAGACGCCATTCTTCCGAGATCTGAGGCGATTCCGGCTGGTATGCGTCAAGGCCACTTCAACAAAGAACTCGAAACCTTTTTTTTTTTTTTTTTT